TATTAGGTGGATTGTATTGAAAATTATGAGACTGGATGAGAACACCAAAGGAATTAGTAAATTGGAGAAGAGGACTAAGGTTTGATGCCTGCGGCACTCTAAGGAGTTAAGCCCTATCGGTCACCTCCAAGGAGGGTGCCAGTGGGGGCCCCCTGATCGCCCTGCCAGTCACCCCGCAGATCGGCTCTGATTGCCAGCCAGCCCTACCCATGCATGAATTCCGTGCACCAGGCTTCTATTTCAAATATAATGTAGTAAATGTTAAAGGACAGTTATATAGTATGTGGTATCCTATATAATAAAGTGGGAATATACAAATTGACTGTCACTCTGCCACAAAGATGGTGGCGCCCACAGCGGAGGCCAAGTTCCCATAATGAGCTTTAACGAGCAATTAGCAGGGACCTGAGCCTGTTCCCCCCCGCCGACATCCCCCCCCTCGTGGGGCTTGACAGGGGCCTCAGGCCGCGCACCCCACCTGGCAGGGCTTGAGGGGGAACCTCAGGCCATGGCCCCCCTGCCAGGTGGGGCTTAACGGGATCTCAGGCTGTGTCACCCACCCAGCGGGGCTTGACAGGGGACCTCAAGGTTCACCCCCTGCCCTGGCCCAGGCTGGGATACCTCAGGCCGCTCCCCCCACCCCGACTCCAGGCGAGGGGACCTGAGGTTGTGCCCCTCTGCCCAGCAGGGCTTGACAAGGGTGTGACTGGCCGGGTCTGTCTGGATCTAGCCCAATGGGGGGGCGGGCTGGCTGGGCCTGGGTCTTGCGCGATTTTGAGGCGCACGTGAGTGGGTGGGGACTTGACTCTGGGTCCTGTGGTGCACCCCAGACTCTGATAGGAGGAAGATTTTCATATACATTTTACTAATTTTCTTTCATCTCTGACACTTCTATTATAGAGAAAGGGTAAATAGCAATATTAAGATATTTCCTCTAATTAATTACCTTTTAATGTACACAAATTTTGTGCACTGAGCCACTAGACCAGTGATGGCGAACCTATGACATAGGTGTCACAGATGACATGAAGACTCATTTTTTTGGTTGATTTTTCTTTGTTAAATGCCATTTAAATATATAAAATAAATATCAAAAATATAAATCTTTGTTTTACTATGGTTGCAAATATCAAAAATTTCTATATGTGACACGGCACCAGAGTTAAATTAGGGTTTTTCAAAATGCTGGCACGCTGAGCTCAAAAGGTTCGCCATCACTGCACTAGACTATACTAATAAAAGCCTAGGTGACTGTCATGCCCTCGCATCATCACAAGATGGGCGCTACAAGATAGCCACTCCCCATGTCGTCACAAGATCACAACACCTCCACATTGTCACAAGATGGCCACCACAAGATGGCCATCACAGAGATGGCCACCCCCATGTCGCCACAAGATGGCCGCTGTAAGATGGCCAGCAGGGGAGGGCAGTTGGGCACAACTGGGCTGGCAGGAGAGGGCAGTTGGGGGCGACCGGGCCAGCAGGGTTGGACAATTGGGGACAGTTGGGCTGGCAAGGGAGGGCAGTTAGGTGGGGACCAGGGGAGCGGTTAGGGGTGATCAGGCTGGCAGGCAGGTGAGCGATTAGGAGCCAGCAGTCCAGGATTGTGAGAGGGATGTCTGACTGCTGGTTTAGGCCTGATCCCATAGGGGACATCTCCCAAGGGGTCCCAGGTTGGAGAGGGTGCAGGCTGGGCTGAGGGATACCCTTTCAGTGCATGAATTTCGTGCACTAGGCCTGTAGGGAGAAATAAGAGGAAGTGCACATAATTCAGCACAGGAGTAGGAAGGGGTTAAAAGAGTCCTCTTTACCTAATTCTTGAAACTTTAGTAGCCATTTGTTATTCATTCATTCGATGTTCATTGTTTAAATATCTGTTAAGTACTTATCAGTGTATCAGCTACTGTTGTAGGCACTCTGGATTCATCAGTGAATGAAATAGGGACCCTGGCCCTTGGGGAGCTTACATTTTTATAGGGGGAAATAGATAATAAACACATAACAAGTAAACAAATTACATAATGTGCTAGAGAGGATAAGTGCTATAGCAAAAAGGAAAAGTAGAGTAAGGTAAAGGGGAAAGGACACGTGGGTTCTTATATTAGTTTTAAAATAGGTTAGGTTGCACTGAGAACATTAAACATTAATATTTTTATGGAAGATTTCAAACCTATACAAAAGTAGTGAGAATAGTATAATGAATCTCAATATGCTTATCATTCAGATATTCCAGTTACCAAAATTTTGCCACACTTGCTTCCTTTTTAAAAATTTTTCTTCACCAAGATTTTAAAGCAAATTCCTAAAAGGATGTAATTACCTCTGTAGACTTCAGTACGTATCTATAAAACATATGGACATCATCTTGCATAACCACAATGCGATTATCACAACTAATAAACCTAAAAACAAGAGAAGAGATATTTGAGCCAAGACTTGAAGGACAGGAAAGAGTTTAGGCAACAAGAACATCTGATGTAACTGGAGAATGCCTAGCATATTTGAGGGATAGTAAGGAGTCATAGTATGGCTTAAGCATAGTAACTGAGCGAAATGGTAAGAGATGGGGTCTGAAAGGACTGTGGCTCTACTTTGAGTCAGATGGGGAGGCATGACAGGGTTTTGAGCAAAGGAGTACCAAGATCAAATTTATGTTTAAAAGGGATGCTCTGAGTGCTCTGTTGAGAATAGACTGCAGGGAAGCGAGATAAAGAGTGAGAGCCTGATTGTTGTTGGATTAAAAGGTATATTTTTGTTAGTAGTAGCAGTGGAGATGGCAAGAAGTGCTTGGATTTTGGATATATTTTGAAGACAGAGTTAACTGCATTTCCTGACTGGCTGTGGCTTGAAAGAAAAAAAGAAGGCATTAAAAAGATTCATTGGTTTTTGACCTGAGTAACTGGAAGGATGGAGCAAGTTTTTGGAGCATCACCAAGAGTTTAATCTTGGGTATGTAGAGTTTGAGGTAGTTGCTAAACATACAAGTGGGATACCTAGTTGAATATTTAAGACTGGAGTTAGGGAGAGAGGTAGCAGAAAGGGTAGTGTGTGTTAACAGTGGTTTTTGTCATTATCAGCAGCCAGATGGGTAGTGTGAATGTTCAGAAATTATTGGTATTTCAACTGTTTACTGTTCATAATTTAGAACTTCTGTCATTTAATTACGAATACTCTTCCAGGAATAGATAGCTCAATGAAGTTTGCATTTCTATTTTCTGTTTCTCTCAAACCATTCTTCCTGTTCAGGCAAGAATGAATAAATTAGGTGAAAGGTATAATTAAAGTATACATTTCTTTTTATTATGGCTAAGCACTCTCAGTTGGAAAGTATTCATCTGGGTATTCTTTGGGGAACACTAGAGACTGTCCAGAATACTTTGGAAGTACTGACAAACTCAGAGACATTCTCAAAATATGACAAAATATTTTGAGGTGTTCTGGTAACTTCAGGGTGGGTGATCCTTGGAGACCCTAATTGTGATATTACTACCATCACTTCCTTCCTTCCAGAACCTGAACTCACTAAAATTTGGATTAAAAAATAGCCATGTTTTCCTGATATTTTCTAAACATGAATTACTTATGAAACTTGTTCAGCAGTCTTATCTTTTTCTTTCTATTTGTAGCCCCACTGGAGAGAGATTTTCATCATTGGTAGCCAGGTGGTTGCTACTCTGGGGGTGGATCTTATGGAAAGCATGTTATCAACGCTAGTGCTTATGCAATGTATACTGATTGTGACTGCTTTTATTTCTCCTTTTAAAAAGGGAATATTTCTAATCCCCTTTTTGGATCATTTGGAGTTCTGATTTTGTCTTAGAGTCATGTAGGGGATGTGTTGTAGTTTCAGCGGTTGTAGTAGCTGGGGTCTGTGAGACTAATTTTAAGTAACTGGGTGTTCAGAGATTGGAACCCTCCTAAGCCTTTTTAGCCTGTATACAGTCTGTGGGTTACCTGTTTCACAGAGAAAGGCCAGGAAATAGAGAAGGATCAGGGTATTTTACAAGCCTGGGAGGACCACCTTTTGTACACAGTTACTCTTTCTCCCCCCACTTACTCTTCTTTTGTTTCTCTTGTATAGGAGATGCATCGGAGATTTGAGAATGCCCCTGATTCTGCCAAGACAAAAGCTCTGCAAACTGTTATTGAAATGAAGGTAAGTAAGAATATAATAATCTTATGAGTTATTTTACACATGTAAGGGATCACACACTGTTATGTATGAGTTTTAAAAAATGGTATCGCCGAAACCGGTTTGGCTCAGTGGATAGAGCGTCGGCCTGCGGACTGGGGGGTCCCGGGTTCGATTCCGGTCGGGGGCATGTACCTGGGTTGCGGGCACATCCCCAGTGGGAGATGTGCAGGAGGCAGCTGATCGATGTCTCTCTCTCATCGATGTTTCTAACTCTCTATCTCTCTCCCTTCCTCTCTGTGGACAATAAATAAAATATATTTAGAAAAAAAAATGGTACTATATAATAACTTAAAAAAAAAAAATACTATGACCAACTCTTCTCCTTCTCTGTGAAAAACAAAAAAAATATATTAAGAAAAAAAAATGGTATCCTATATAATAAAAGGGTAATATGCAAATTGACCCTAATGGTGGAACGACCAGGTACGACTGGTCACTATCACGCGCACTGACCACCAGGGGGCAGATGCCTAACACAGGAGCTGCCCCTGGTGGTCAGTGTGCTCCCACAGGGGGAACTCTGCTCAGCCACAAGCCAGGCTAATTGTTGTGAGCGCAGCAGCAGTGGCGGGAGCCTCTCCTGCCTCCTCGGCAATGCTAAGGATGTCCGAGCGTTTCTGGGCTGCCAGAGGGATGTCTGGCTGCCAACTTAGGCCTGATCCTCCCCGGGCAGCGGGCCTAAACTGGCAGGTGGACAGCTCCCAAGGGCTCCAGGCTGCGAGAGGATGCAGGCCAGGCTGAGGGACCTCCCCCCCCCCATGCACGAATTTTTGTGCACCGGGCCTCTAGTGTAATAATATTTTACTCATTTTGTAAATTGAAAAGAAATAATGACACTTAGTGAAAATGACACTTTAAAAGAACTTCAGTTTCAGTTCCTTTTAGTTACAGCACATAACTCAAATTGGACCAAAAGGGTTGTCCAGAATTTCTTTCAGTCAGCTATTCTCAAACCTTTAATATCAGGACCCCTTTATACTCTTAAATGACAGGTTCATTTCATTCATTTCTAGAAAATGTCTGCTAAATATCAAGTCTGAATAACCATAGTTTATCTGTTGTTCTTTCTAATAAAAATAGTTTTCTATGAAAAAAAGTTGCTAATTCAGCTTGTAATTCAAAGAAGCACACAAGTACTGTTCCTGGGGATAGTTACAATACTTCTTACAGCAGAAGTACCAGCCTAGTTCCTTCCCATTTTATCACACAGAATATTAAAATGCTATGTGCTCAAAGCTTGAGATTTATTAAAAGTAATAAAGTAACAAGACATTAAATTAAGCAGTCTTTAAAATTTTCTTTTTTTTTCTGTGAGTGCCTGACACTGAAGAATACAATGACTACTGTGGTTTGGTGCTACTGCCCTTTGTCCTAAGGCACTTGCAGTTTTGCCCACCATTGCCTTTATACCTTGACTAGAGGCCCGGTGCACAAAAATTTGTGCACTCGGGGGAAGGGGAGGTCCCTCAGACCGGCCTGTGTCCTCTTGCAGTCTGGGACCCCTCGGGAGATAATGACCTGCTGGCTTAGGCCTGCTCCCGGGTGGCAGAGGGCAGTCCCAATCCCTAGGTGCAGCCCCTGGTCGGGCTCAGAGCAGGGCCGATTGGGGAGTTGGGGCGCCGC